GTGTGGAGGACGGCGCCATGCGGTCCCTGAACATCACCCCGGAGCAGTTCGCGCAGCTCCTGCGGGACAACAACGTGACGCGGGAGCAGTTCATCGCCCTCTACGGGCTGCAGCCGCTGGTGTACATCCCGGAGCTGCCGGGGCGCACCAAGGTGGCCTTCGTCCTCATCTGCGTGCTCATCTTCGCGCTGGCGCTCTTCGGTAACTGCCTGGTGCTCTACGTGGTGACCCGCAGCAAAGCCATGAGGACCGTCACCAACATCTTCATCTGTTCCCTGGCTCTCAGCGACCTGCTCATCGCTTTCTTCTGCGTCCCCTTCACCCTGTTGCAGAACATCTCCTCCAACTGGCTTGGCGGTGGGTGCCGGGGCCGGGGCGGGCAGTCCCGGGCCGTTACGGGTTCGGCGGCCGCTGGAGGGAGGTGTAGGGGGGGGGGGGGGAGGGGAGGGGGCGGAGCGGGGGGGGCGAGCCGGGGAGGGACCCCCAGGGGCGCGCGCTGTTCCCGCCGGGAGCCCCGGGCCGCCTCGGCCGTTGGGGCCGCTCCTCCGCTGAGGAGAAGGCGCCCGACCGCCTCGCTGCGAGGGGGCTGCCGTCCTCCCTCAGGGCAGCGGTATTCCCGCGCTCCCCTGCGGAGCTCGTCGTGCTCGCACAGGGGTCAAACTCTTCGGTGAAAACTTAAAACGTCTGCCGCTGGCAGCATTCAGGCGTTCGTAGTCTTTTATCGCAGGATTCGGGCGCTATCTCCAGGTGTGTAGTTCAGTAACCTCAGCCTGCCGTCAGCTGCTTTTCCGCAGAGCTAAATCACGGCTACACCACTCCCTGTGGTTAATGGTAATGTTTATGTAAAACCTAGTGCGCTTTCATGCTTGTATTCGTTAAAAGTTGCAGTATGTGTGTGAGAAACTACGTCGTGTGGTGCTGATGAGGTAGTCTTGCGGTACTTTCTCTTTTTTTCTAAGTAATGAAATCTGTCTGGCGAGTGAAATATCAGTCTTTATTCAGCTTAAATTCCTCTGACAGTAGTCGACTCGGAGTCAGACTTCCTTAACCTGTCGTGAGGAAAAAGAATGCGTCCTTGGAGAAATAGGGGAATGAGAACATGCAGAATTTATGTTGAAATGATGCATTATTTATAAGATACGCTTATATCTTGGGAATTATGTTGTATTCCCGTTGATGTGAAGGACCTTTGGGCAAGACCTCCTTGATGAATTTTGATTTTTTTTTTTTCTGAATTTTTTTCGGAATTATTTCTGAATATTTTTTCTGAATTTTTTTTTGAAAGAATTATTTTTTTTTTCTTTTTTATGCTTCCCAGTTCCAAAGTAGTAAAGTAACAAAAAGACAAAGATGAAGTAACACTGTAAATGGTATTTATCTTCCTTTTCTTGGTCTTAAAACAGTGTTTGATCATAAGTGGAAAAATAAAAGTGATGTTTTTACACAAAGTAGCAGACAACATCTTGTACAATCACAAATTGAAATATTTTTCAAAATATTTCAAAATGTTTTTCAAAATATTTCAATATGAACAGAACGAATGTTCATAAAGTGACACGGTTATGTTTCAATTTCCAAGGCTTCCTGTGCTTATATTGTTGGGAGATAGTGAAGGTTACCTTCAGAACATGGAGATTTAATTCCAGTACATCCCATGGACTAGAATGCAGGGTGGGAATTGCCAGGTCAGAGGAGACTTGAAAAGCATTTGGATACCTAACCCAATGTGAAGTGGGCTTTATTTTTGTCTGAAAACCAGGAACTTTCTGGGAGAAGTGACTCCAGGGGTGCTGATAGTAAGGACAACTGTTTTATTTTCTTACGAGCTGTCTTTGGGGGAGATAATTGCTGTTTTAAGACAGTACAGATGTTGAACCCCAAAACTAATAAGGATGTGTAAATAAAAATAATGGAATAAATGGATAGGTATGCTGCTGTGCCTTCCTTTTGGCTATTGTTGTTCCAGTTCTCCTTGCTCAAAGAAGAATACAGCATAAAGTTACTGGTGGCATCAAGAGATCTCACGTAAAGGGAAGAGGACTGAATTGAGTAGCTCTTCCTAATTATAAGAGGTGTGATTCTTCTCACTTATAAGGAAGACCCTGGTCTGTCAGCTTGACCATACATCTGACCACAATCAACTAAAAGTTGGGTGGGATGAAGCCTCCGCCTGAGGTGAATTACAGCAGATATGGCACAGGCATGTTGAACAGTATGGGGGAAGTATGTATGTTTCCATTTACCTTCTGTTACTGAGGATGCTTGACAAAAATCTAGAAGTAGTGAATGTAAAAGGTTGCAAAAAATACCTTCAGATATCAGTAGTTCATAGTTCAGGGTACTTCATAGTGTTCTGTGGGTTTTACCGTACTTTTTGTCTACCCTCTTATCTATGCTAGAGCATCTTTAGTACAAGGGGATCCATAGATCCCATTGACTTTGATAGTCCTGGTAAGATAATTAGCTTTAACACATTGGGAGGACATAATGAGTAACATAATTGATGGGTGTTACCCTTCTCTGTTGGGGGTGTGTGTGTGAAGTAAAATTCAGGAAAACAAATGAGATGTAAACTGATGGTATCCCAAGGGTATCTGATTCCTGAGGCTTACACTGTGAAGCATGAATGGTGATTACAGTTATACTGCAAATCAGAGCCTGCCAGTCTGGGAGGAGTCTTTTCCTTGCTAGCTTTACTGGTTTAATTTTCCTTTTGCCTTTCATTTTGTAGTCTGAAAAAGCTTATCCTCATCCACCTTAATGCAACATCTCTCAGTAGTGCAAGCTCCAACTCTGTTAAGAAAAAGGTGATTTGAGTATGTCATATATCCCTGCTGGAAAAAGTGGTGCATCCTGAGACACTTGATGCTAGAAGTATCTTTGGGCTTCTGAGCTTTTAGTCACTTTATATTTTGATTTAGCTGCATTTGCATCACTAAAACAAGCATCTGTACTAGGCGATGTGAACTGAGACATGAGTATGTTTTGCACTTGTCTTTGATTTGGAACTGTTTATTTCCATGCTCGTATGTGTGTATTTGTGTTGCTGTCTCTTCCTTTCCCCTTCAGAAACCCACAGCAGAATGGGAGAGGTAAGGGGAAAAATGCAAACACTCTAGACTATAGAGATAGAACATACAAACATAAGAACAGCCACAGTTTCAGGGTGGCTGTTGTCTTTTAAGACATTATGGGATGCTATCAGAAAGGACTAACTACCATTTTGGCCCTTCTAAAGTGAAGGGTGAAACATTTTTACCCCAAAGGGTTCCAGGTGTGAATAGTTTACAATAGGACTCCAAGGAGAATGGTGACAGCTGGTGATGTAAAGTAATCCAAATTGTGGATGGTAAAATGACTGCTCTAATAGATAGTGTTTGTCAGAATTCTTTAGAAACTGAAGATTTCTCATGTTCGCTGCGTTACACTTATCAGGACTTAATTCAGTTCTGGCAGATGGGAAAAACTAAAGCACTGGCATGACTTTTTCCACAGTATATTCATTAATACATCTTAATTTCACCTACAATTTAGTAACTGCAGTTTCAAGAAGCTGAATGTGTGCCTCACTTTGCCTAGTGATTATGCAGTATTAACACAGACCTGCTAGCTCTACATAGGCAGCAACTGGGAGCAGCACCATATTGACCAAAAATGGGTGCATCGGTCTCAGTTTTGATTCTCTGATCTCTGAAGAATCTGCGTAGCTGCGTGAGACGGTAATAGTGGCAGTATATGATTTAATTTCTGAATTTATACTTTGCAATTAAAATGGCTGTAATTTCTAGGGGAACTTCTAATAAAAATCCTGCAAGCTAATCTCTCTCTAATGTGGAAGATACTGTGGAAGGAAATGAAAATTGTGGCTTTGGCATAAATGATCACTGGGATCATATTTATCGGTAAGAGGAAGATAAAATGGAAACTTGAGTAAGGGGTAAATTGATGCATACAGCAAAAGTAGTCTTGGTGCAAACTGAAGCAATTGAGGATTTGCTCTCATGTGATCACAGGTAGGAGGCAGCAGTAGTGGTCTCATTGTTATACTGATGGCAGCACTGTTAAAGATAAATTTGGGCTTTTGTCTCTGGGCCAAATATGACAAGAGTCGCTTTATTTTCTGACGCTGCTTAGTTAGCTGAGTAACAGCAATATCTTTACAGAACTGCCTGGAGGGACTGGAGAATTACCTTTAATGTTGTGTGATATAACAGCCCTGGCAAAAGATACAGGCAAAACATCAGGTGACGATAGACCTAGCACTGTGCTACATCTTTCTTGTGAATTTTGCATCTTATCAGTTAGAATATGTACAAGTATCAGAGGGTGGCTTTTCCTGTCATTTAGAGAGTAGTGAGCCACCTGAGGCACTACTTGAACACACAGCAGCATTTGAGATGCCCTTGCATATCTTGTCTGCCTTCCAGCTGCCACTCAGGAGAGGGGTGGGTCCTCTGTACGTTGCTGTCATATCTGGCACTCCTTGACATGGCAGTTTCCTCTTCTCTAAAGGCTTGGTTGAAAACCAAGTGCATCTTATACCCAGTTGAGTATTTAGGGTGCTTTCTGTTCTTTGCCAAATATCTTGTATCAAGCAGTGTGTTACCTTACTTACAACTTTCCTGTGTGAGAATGCATAAATATTCCTTACTAAGGGATTAAAATTAAATCTTAGCAATGAAAATCACTGGGCCTTTCGTGTCCGATATTCTTGGATACCTCTGTAAAATCTCATTTCTGTTCTTCAGTGAGACGTTAGAAACTTCTTCACTCTGACTTGCTTCTGGAATGTTCTTTGATACTGAAGAGTTTCCAAATACTATCAAACTCTGCTGATACACTATTTAGGGTTAATGCTAGACAGTAAAACTGGACGTGAGAGATCCAGGTATTTGAATCTCCAGTTTTAAAGCTTTTTTTTAAACTTCCCTGTTTAAGTTGTCTTGACTTGCTGTAAATCAGGTCGGGGACACAAGAGCATTCTTCACTTGCCTCCTGCAGTGTGAGAGGTTATGTCTCGGGATTGATCTGCTTCTGTAAGAGCAGGGTGATTTTTGTAATTCTATCTGTAATGGTGAAATCTTGCCTTATCCTTCATTCACCATGCCCTGCTATTGTTTATTTTGGGGTATTTGCTTATCAGTAGGGGCAAAAATAAAATTCTTTATGAAGATGGTTTGAGAAAGGGTTATACAGTGAATGCCTTGGTAAGGGAAATAACAGGCTTAGGTTTTTTATATATAATATATTGGCAGGGTGTTTTGCTTAAAAGCGGCAAAACAATGCTGACAAAAGGAAACTTACATGTTCAGTATAGGGAATTTCTTACTGCAAGTTGGGCATGTCGTTAATTAGTGTAGATATTAAACGCAGTGACTGATGTGAAATATTTTGCTGTTAGATTAATTGGGCAAAGAAATAAAGCAAGTTTTAGGGTGTGGATAATTGGTTAGTGTTTCACGTGAGGTGGTGGTTATATCCTTTTACTTGGTAAAAATACCTGGCAATCTCTGCTTTGCATCGAGTGAACAGGACTGTGTTTGCCATGTCCTGTTTTGTTCCCTGCTAGTGAGTCTCCTTTCTCTTTTCAGAAGAGATCTGGATCTTTAACCTCTATCCCTGCCAAAAATACCCACCTGTACTACTTGTTTATACCACAATTGCAGACGCTAGTTCACTGCAGTAGTTTTGTGCTCTAGTGCTGTGCTGCACAGCTATCCTGCATCTTTGCATGTTTGTATTTGTTTTTTCTCACCAATTGCTGCATTTTGAAATAAGCTGCTGATCCAAGTTTGCCCGAAGGCTGTGGTGCCCATTTCAGTGGCTTTATAAACCCACAGGCAGAGAAGCTGCCTTGGAGGGAAGGGGGAAGGAAGGTAGACAGTGTGGAATACTTTGGTCAGCTACCCAAGATGTGCGGTCCACAGTTTCAAATTGCAGGAGAGGGAATGGTGTGGTCTCCATCTTGCACCGGTGTGTGGTCTAATTCCATGGGCTCATGCCATACCATTTTTACCTCAGCTGCTGTAGTTGACCATAAACAGACTTAAACTACCACAGGTCTACTTTCAAGTGCTACACTTGTGCCTTTTTCTGGGCAGATGTATGTATAATGTCCTTTATCCTGTATAGGTAACATGTGAGAGACTTGTGCATCACGGTAGGTGAACTACTAAGGATGTAAAATGCCTGTATACCCAAGAATCGATACAGAACAATGCATTGCCCAAGTATCAAGGACCATTAGGGATATTAGCTGTGTGATGATGACTGACTTGTTTTCTGCCCTGAAGTTACAAAATATAAAAAAACCTTCCCTTGCTTGCATTAAGTGAGCTGGAGAGAATTGGTTTACAAGCCGTGATAGAGATTTCAGTGAAAGGGCTTGATCAACAACATTTTAACAGAGGAAGGAACAATTTAACTTTTATCTGAGAATAGCTTTAGGATTTTGCCTTTGTTACCCTAATAAAAGAAAAAACGATCTTTTAAATGGGTGATGAAATGACTAAATCATAGTTAGAGGCACAGCATCTGATAATGAAGTTGTGAAGCATTGTTTAAGGGAATACCATTTATATTTGCAGCCCTCTGAATGTGTTATCATTGGGGAAAACTAATCATTGCTTGAATAATCTATACAGTTTTCAGCAGTGCATAAGGAATACTTTTAGGAACCTCTTAGCTTCTTGAAAAGAAGCAATTAGTTATTTTCTTTCACAGTATTCCTTTTGCAAATTATTTTCTTTAGAAAAATAGATGGTGTCTGTAGTTTGAAAACATAGACTATATAATTTATAGTATTAAAAGACTTGGAGAAAGTCTTCAGCAATTATCTAGGCAGTTTGGAATGGCTGGTATATATTTCTAAATAAAATCATGAAAGTTTTGAAAACTAAGAACAGACTGTATGTGGAAAACATTCCCTATTCTGTCAAGTACAAGGACCACTGGTATCTCAGGATTGAAGCCCATTCAAACACATTAAGGTTGGTGGAGCTGGATCTCAAATCTGTTGACATCAGATTTCCACTGAAGTTGATGACTTTTCATTTGGCCATGGCTTCTAAACACTGTATTCCTTTCTCCTCGCCCCCTGCGCCCCCCCCCCCCATCTGTTTCAAACACTCATGCAAAGGAGAGTTGATTTCCTTGCTAAACAATCACATAACCTTGGTGGTGTTTTGCATTTGAACACCAAGTGCCTCGTGATTTCAGAAGATGGGAAGCGTTTGTGTAGTGAGTGACAATTCAGGGCAAGCAAAAGAGCCCTAAAGCCATATGGTGATGTTAATACAATTTGATGGTCGGAGAGCCTGGGCTTGGTGGCATGAGAAGCTTCAGGGAGGTTGAAATACTGTTCTATTTTTACTGTTGATATATAGAGGCTTTTTGAGTAGCTTTTACTACTGTCCTTTTGAAAATTTCATGTTATATCTTGGTTATAAGAATGCGAGTGGCTGTTTTGCGTTGGCCACAAAGGTTTGGTCCACCAAGGAACCAAAATGCATGCCGTGTAACTCGGAGCAGGTGTTTCTGTTTCAGCCAACTGTGCCTAATGAAAAACATCCTGTTGTTTCACATTTCTGGAAGTGCTACCGTCACTCCTCATTCAGCTCAGTAGGATCAATCTGTAGACATTATGTAGATTCTTCCTTTTACGACCTTTTTAACAGTTACTTATGTATAGCTTAGGTAATCACTTATTGTGCATTTGTCTACAAAGAGAGGAAGTAAGGAGTTTCTGCAGCCTTTTCTCCTGGGTGTTCAGCTAAAGGCGTAGTGGTAGTCTGTGCTCTTTGGCAGTGTAGTTACTGGGAAGAAAATGAGACGATATCAGTAAAAGGCAATGAAAATCTGGGATTTTGGGAGTTAACTACCTGATGAACTCGGGTATTCTGTTTGCTCTTTGAATAGTTGGGCACAAGCTGGAAATTCCACCAGACTCGTATAACTTCAGTGAAAGTCGCTGTCTCATTTTGTTACTTAACTAGAGTAATAGAGTGATATTTCTTTGCTTCCTAAGAATACCGTGGAATGCTGGGACTTCAGTGAAGGAATAGTGCATTACAGGAAAACCCCCATAATGGAGTATAGTTCAAGTGGACTTTATTTAACTCTGACTTTTTTTCAAACTATAAGAAACAGCATATGGTGAAAGGTTTTTTTTTTTGCCACAGCACTCGAACTTATTTCTTTAGTGAAACAGGAAATTAAACATTTCTTTCATGCACAAATTTTGCTTTTCTGTTCATGTTGTTGTCCTTTTGATTCAAAGGAGTAGGATTTGAATTTGGCCGGAGATAATTTTATCTCTGCTTTACTTGTGGCAGTAAGCCAGAGATTGTGTGCCATAGCCTCTTCTTTGGTTGTATTCACCATTTGCCACGTGCAAAGAAGGTGTGATTTGGACTTGCTTTTTGTTGTCTCACTACAGAAGTTTCAACACACTGGTTGAAGAACTATAAATGTAACTGAGTGGATCTGGTGCTTGTATGTGTAGCACATAGGGTACTGGGTGTAGTGAGAAACTGATGAGATGCTGAGTTAATAAGATATTGGCTGTGTTTCATGAGGGGTTTACTTTGTGCTTACTGAAGCCAAGGAGGAAGCGGGGGGAATTTTATGGTATAAATGGCAGTTGATGCCAGCTGTCAGTATGTCTTGTCTTGCTCTTTCCGATACCCTGGCAAAATACATACTAGATGAGAAAGACATGCAGCCCAGTGCATCTTCTATACAGTTCCTACTGACCATGCTAAGGTTTCATTCGAGTAGCTTGAAATTGGGCTGCATGGTATATTTTTGTTTTGTTTTAAGCCAGATTTGTGTGCACATTCACAGTGTTGCTGGTATTGAATATATACTTGAAAGGTACTTGACTTCCATCCTTTGCCCCTTGCCCTCCCCTTTGCTTTTTGGAGCCACAGAAAAAGTGATATTTTGGGGCAGCTAGAATTGGTAAGACCAGTAGCAAACCGGTTCCTTCTTGTAAGCTACAGTGGCTTTTACCCTGGCCTAGCAGACAAAAGTTTTCCTGTTGCTTGTTCCCTTCATGGAGGGCAGGATTAAGCTTTGATAGTTTCCTGCTTGTTTTCTTTCTGTTTTCATTGCTTTTATTGCTTAAGGTGTCTGTAGCCTCTTAAAGCTTGACTTACAATTGGATCAGATGTTCCTTTGGTTATTTTGAGTTTATGGATTATATCTGGGTAAAGTATAATTAATGATCAAGTGAGGGAAATAACCGCAGTTGTTGCTGAAGTGAATATCTGGTGCTGAACTGTAAGAATGTGAGGAAACTGTGAGAATGTGGGTATACAAAATTGTCTCAGGGTCAGAAAATGAGTAAATGAGAAGTATGTTGGGAAGGGCATTAACATAAGATTTTTGAGAGAGTAATTTACACCACAGTTTCTAAGATGGTTGGGACTGGAGAATGAGTATTGGGGAATGACTAATATGTTGAGTTGAATATGTACTTTTGGGAAGCTATAGCAGCAATGAAATCTGAAGATCTGTGCTAGCTGTGCATAAATACAGTGGGAACCTATACAACTGAAAATGCAGACAGGAAACTGTATTTAATTTGGACAGTGTAATTCAGATAATGTGTTAATCAGGAAAGAGGGAGACATGGAGAATGGAAAAATGATGGAGAGGTTGAATTTCTCCGCTTATGTTACGCTTCTTAGAGGACTCCTGTATATATATTGCTTGGCAGAATAATGCGTTAAGTGCCAAGTATACAAGTAGAGTGGTATTTAAATAACTAGAAGGAATGTATTTGCAACAGCAGAAAAGGTAAACTTTTAAACAGGTCACACTAAGACCTTCATAAAACTGGAGAGTAATCTGCCAAGATAAAAAGATAATAAATATCCCTGTAACTTGGCACATTTGAAAACAGATGATGGAAGACTCGGTCAAAAGTGAAATAGGAATGTCTCAGCCTGATACAGAGCAAGCAAATATGTCCTTAGAAGTCTTGGTTTTGCAGATGTAGTGTGTACGGCAGAAGAATGACTATTGAAAGCTGCATTTGACAAATAGCTTAAATAGGTGACTTGGCAGTTTAGCTGTTAAAATAAATCTAAGAATATCAGTCTGTTCTTTTTGCACAATAGCACTTTAGTAATGAAGTCTAGTATTAGTAACTTTTTTCATGAACTGCAACAGTTGCATACCTTACTTTCTGACTATTGCAGGTGCCTTCGCTTGCAAGATGGTACCGTTTGTTCAATCCACTGCTATTGTAACTGAGATTCTTACAATGACCTGCATTGCTGTGGAAAGACACCAGGGAATTGTGCATCCACTAAAAATGAAATGGCAGTACACCAATAAAAGGGCTTTCACGATGCTTGGTAAGATTTTAGGCATCTCCAGTAATCATGTGTATAGAGAAATAATCTTCAGTGTAGCTGGTGTAGATGGCATGACAGAACAGAAGGCACTGATATGACCAGTGATTCAGAGGTAGAGTTAATGATAAGTCTGGTAATGTTTATAAAATAGCTCAAGGATAGTGCCTATATGTGTAGTAATTACTAGTCAAAACCCTGACGATAAACTTAGGATCTGAAGTCAAAGATTTACTTAACCAAACTCTGATAAGCCTTTGGCAGCCTTTTCTTTCTTTTTTTCTTTTTTAAGAAAGGTTCAAAATGTACAAGCACTGCTAAAGCAATGTCAAAGCTGTAAGTGGTCCTTCCATTGTAACACAAAGAGAACACACATAATGCTGCTCATGCACATTAAGTTGCCTTTACATTTGAATACCAATAAATGAAGGTAGCTTGAGAGAAAGAAAACTGACAACAAAAGAGCATGCTGTTATTGATGTGAATGTTGACTGATGCATGCCTCATAGAAAACTTTGTTGTTTATTTAAATTGTCTGCTTTGCCTGACTTTTTAAAGATGAAGTTATTAAACTGTTCATACGACAACTTATGCTGCTTGTTGTGCAAAGTATTAAAAAATGTATTTGTTTACAGGCATAGTCTGGTTGCTGGCAGTTATTGTTGGGTCACCTATGTGGCATGTGCAACGGCTTGAGGTATGTTAGGTGAAATGGGAATTTACATTTTAAACTTGGTTCTTGCTGGATCTTTTTGTATCTTTAGCAATGAATTTGAATAAACTCCTAAGAAATGAGGGTGGGATAAGAGAAGTGGGGCTTTTGTTCTGTGTGCCAGCATGAGAAAGGCTAAAGATTAGGACTTGCATGCACTGGAAGAAGGACTACTAGCAGGGACTAGTCATGTCTACCCTCCCTGGTTATGTCAAAGAGCAGTAATTACATCTATGACTTCCACTGTGGCTTCCTTTTGGTTTAAAGGTGCACTGGCACACAGCAGTGTAGGGTTTAGATTACTGTTTCATGATGACATAGTGTTCCCTGAGATTTGGAAGAACTGTGCCTCATTTAAAATGTAATTAGCTGCCCCTTATAGTTTAAGGAGTTACCGTACACTTTTGGAGGGGTGGAAAAAAAAAGGGCCTGTCAGAATCTGCTGCTTGTGAGCCTGAATGTTAAGAAATCCTTTTTTTTTTTTTTTTGAATGACTAATATGTGAGGTTTCTATACACCCATCTTTACTTGCGAAATGCATAGCCAAAGTTTCCTTTGAAAGTCCTTGTTTAAAAAAAAAAAAAAGTTTTGAGGAGGAGTGCAAATTTGAGCATCTCCTGACCTTTCTTTTGTCAACTTGGATCAACCCAACACTTGATGTGGAAAAGTGCTTGGAAGAATTTTGTCACTTCGAAAAGTCTCTGTTGAATTGTGGTTGTTGTATTAAGAGCAAGGAATATTTGAATGCGATTGGTTTTTACACTTGGGGTGAACACTGTAGTGACTCATCTCCTTTACACTTGTTGCAGGTTAAATATGACTTTTTGTATGAAAAAGTACATGTTTGTTGCTTGGAAGAATGGGCCAGCCCGATTTATCAGAAGATATATACAACCTTTATTCTTGTTATACTCTTCCTTCTTCCACTGATGTTGATGCTTGTTTTGTACACTAAAATTGGCTATGAACTCTGGATTAAGAAACGAGTGGGAGATGCTTCAGTTCTTCAAACCATTCATGGGAGTGAAATGTCTAAAATATCAAGGTTTGTAAAGTAAATTACAGTTGGAACTTTGACTTCTAGAAAGCTTTTTTTTCCTGACAGTTCTTGAAAACCAGTGCCAAAAAAAAAAAAAATCTCTTTCCTTATCTATTGGAAAGACTGCAAGCACAGACCAGATTTTTAAAGCTAGCTACTTATTTAACACTTAGATACCCAATTAAAGGCAACTTAAACAGATTGTTTTCTTCAAAGTATAGTATAGCCACACCTTGGATGTCAAGCCCTTTCAATAAATATCATAATATACATTGTGAAACACTTGTTTTTAAAAGATGTAGGCCGTGAGTTAGAATATGACTTGGGGAAAATGCTGCTACATTATTTCCATATGTTCTATGGAAAGTTCTTTATATAATTCTGAGACTGTGAACACTGCTTTATGATTCTATTATAAGTTAAATTGTCATATGGGAAAAAATCAGAATTAATTTAAAAACTACTTTGAAATGTCTAAAATATCAAGGTTTGTAAAGTAAATTACAGTTGGAACTTTGACTTCTAGAAAGCTTTTTTTTCCTGACAGTTCTTGAAAACCAGTGCCAAAAAAAAAAAAAAATCTCTTTCCTTATCTATTGGAAAGACTGCAAGCACAGACCAGATTTTTAAAGCTAGCTACTTATTTAACACTTAGATACCCAATTAAAGGCAACTTAAACAGATTGTTTTCTTCAAAGTATAGTATAGCCACACCTTGGATGTCAAGCCCTTTCAATAAATATCATAATATACATTGTGAAACACTTGTTTTTAAAAGATGTAGGCCGTGAGTTAGAATATGACTTGGGGAAAATGCTGCTACATTATTTCCATATGTTCTATGGAAAGTTCTTTATATAATTCTGAGACTGTGAACACTGCTTTATGATTCTATTATAAGTTAAATTGTCATATGGGAAAAAATCAGAATTAATTTAAAAACTACTTTGGTACAGTTTAACTTGATATAGCTTCCAAAGAGTTTTGAGTGTTCTCAGCTGTGTTTGTGTGAGACTATCCAGATGGTAGTGCTCTATCTGAAAAGTTATGAAAATCAATAATTATCAACTTTGCTATTTAGCACTAAATATGGGCTACCCTTAATATTGACTCATGTTTTTTCCTTTCATTAGGAAAATTGATCTGTTGCCTGATGTGTTAGAAACCTCTAACAGTTCTGCTCATTGAGGAGAGTGTCAGCTTAAGTATTGACTGTAAGGAGAATACTGACAAGCAGCTTAAAAAGATAAACGATTCCTTAGATATTTGTCTAACAAAGTGCCTAAGGAAGTGGACCCTTGTAAGTCAAAACTGAAAGAGGGTGCAATTTTACAGGAGTTAAGGTGACATGCAATCTTCGGGCTACTCTTCAGCTTATTTTCACACAGTGGGGAGAAGATACTGTAACTGCTACCAGTGAAGTGCTGCTGCTTTAGCTCAAGTGAGAGATCCATCTTGAGATCTATAAATGTAGTTGTATGAATTATATATCAATTTGGGGATGACAATAAATTAATGTATACCTTGAGTTTGTGAGATATTACAGTGGAGGCAGGGAGTGTGTTTCTTGCTCTTATTCCAGCGCTTGCAACTACCAGCAAAGGTTGAATATTGCAGATGTAGTTACACTTACGCTCTATCAAATTCTCTATGTAATCAGGTGCTGCGGGTATGGTCAGTGCTCCCAGATCTAGGAAGGGACTCTTGGTTTTTGAGCTGTTAATGGAATTGCATGTGTGTTTTTCCTTACCATCTCTTACTATTGGAATTGCATCTGCTTGAATAGCGTGAAAATACCTTGCAAGATATGCTAATGTCTGCTTGCTGCAGCTACAAAGTGCATGCTTTCCCAAAAGAAAGAAATAAAAGGTGTTAATTGATGTACTGCATTTATACGATGCTGCATTTTTGTTTCAAAGGGAATTGTGTACTTCTGAGCATTCTTCCAGGGTTTTAGTTGCATCTGCAACCATCAGAACACATTTACAGATCTAACTTGAAGAGACACATCTAACTACCAGTTAATTCTTAGTGATTCAGTATGGAATGTCTTGATGCAATTTCAGGAAGAAGAAGCGAGCAATTGTTATGATGGTGACAGTGGTGTTTCTCTTTGCAGTCTGTTGGGCCCCTTTCCATGTGATTCACATGATGACAGAATACAGTGAGTATCTGCCATGTGTTATACAATAAAGCCTTTCTTAGTTCTTTTCATAATGGAACTACAGGTTGTGAAAAGCTAGTGCTGCTGCAGCATTCAGCTATAGAATACCTTCTGCTAGCAAAGGTTAATGTTGTGATTCTAAGTCCCGGATCACTGTCTTGTAATAGAGATACAGAGCCAACAACAGATGAATTACTCTGAAGTTGATGAGTGATAGACAGATCTGCAGTGCTCACAGAAAATGAGTACATTTCAAAAAACCTCTTATCAGATTTGTTTGGGAGATATCCTGTATCTGAGATAATCTTGTGTGTCAGCCAGATCTCTTCCTCCCTGCTGTGTGAATTAAGAAAAAAGATAATCTTTGTGTCTTGCTGTAAACCCTACTGAACTTTGTTGCAGGGTGGGTGGGAGTGAACTGAAACTCTCTACCAGCTCTTTTGGAATGTAAGCTCTTTAGGAAGGAGATAGTCATTGCTTCTTAGTTTGTACAGCACGTAATCCAGTCCTGAAAAGGTGGTTTGCTAGGCCTTACAAGACTCAAGAAAAGAAACAGGCTCGACTATTAGGATGGTGAGCATATCTGTGTAGGTTCTTTTTCTTTCTGTGTCTGTCATGCTACCCTCATTTGCTGAAAGGTCAAAAGTACCTGGCTGGAAGGTAGAAGTTATTTCCAAGTATAAAACCTCTTGAACAAGTAACTTTTAAAATTCAAATTTAATTTTAATTTAATGTGTGAAGACTTCTATTTGCATCCACTTCAGTTGTCATGCTGCTTTGACTTAAACTGCTATGAAATTAAAACCAGGGCAGGTGAAGGGATAAATATGAGGTAGACATACTGGAAATATAAATACTGGACATCATAGTGATAATACCCAATGAATCCAGTTGAACTTTTTCAGTGTTCTGGAGTGGATACTAGCTTGAAAATGCCCTCAATGCTTGTTATCTTTGCTTTTTGCTATTTGCCCCGTTCTCTGGGGCCTTGCACTGTTCTTCTCCCATCTCCTGCATGGGTACTGGGATAGCACATGGGACTATGCAGCAGACTATGTGTAGGAACAAGAGGAATTTTTCAGTAGTTGTACTCTGCTTGCCAAAGGCAGCAGCTGTTTCTTTGTCTTCTATCACAAATAAGGTTGTAGCAAATACATCAGTAGTCCTGCAGCCAGTCAGCTGAACCAAACGATGCTTATGCCTGGGCAGAATCAGAAGTGCAGAAGCTATAACTATTAACATTGCCTGGGTTGTCCCATGTAAAGGTTGCCCATAACACTCCATGAACTGTTTGCTGTCTTTTCTAATTTCAGGAATTATTTCAGGTGCTACAAGGCCTTTATTTTACTTGGCATGTAAACCTTTATAGTGCTTACCCAAAGTTTGGTCGCTGAGTATTTGAATTCAAGGAATTCAGTCCTCTGTGATCTCAATGATTAAAGAGTGAGAGAGGTGACCAGGAAGATACCAGATTACCTCCATGAGCTGATCTGTGTCAGCACAGAGAAAGAAGGCATGTATGGTCAGTGAGAAGACAGGTATTGGTGTTAAAGAACTTACACATTTGATATGGACACGAAACACAGCCAGAAGAACAACTGGAATAAACAAGGCCTATACTTAGCAGACTGGAAGCTTTCTGTCACTTGGCCGTTGGGCAAGTTTTTTGGCTCATAAATTGCCTCTTTCGAATGACTCTGTCCTTACATATACACAAAGCAGGGCTATGTGGTAGATCTTGGTCTTTACTTGCTGATGAAACCCTGTTGCTAATATTAAGAACCTCCAGCAAGGTCTTTTGTTGATTTTAAACAAAAGCTTCTAATGCCAGACTGGATATAAATAGGCTAAGTAGTGGGCATTTATGCCATTCTGTGCTTACAGCATATTTCCTTTTTCCTTTCCAGGTAATTTTGAAAAGGAGTATGATGATGTGACAGTCAAAATGATCTTTGCAATTGTCCAGATTATAGGATTCTTCAATTCTATTTGCAACCCTATCGTGTATGCTTTCATGAATGAAAACTTCAAGAAAAATTTTTTGTCTGCCCTCTGCTTCTGCGTTGTCAAAGAAAATGCATCACCAACCAGGCAACTTGGGAACTCGGGGATTACTATGAGGCGGCAAAAGGCAACTGTTTCTCAAGGAGATCCCGTTGACTCAAATGAATCCAGGAGGGAGGCGTTCAGCGATGGCAACATTGAAGTCAAGTTCTGCGATCAGCCAGCTTCAAAAAGGAATTTGAAAAGGCACCTTGCCTTATTCAGCTCTGAGCTTACTGTGCATTCTGCGTTAGGAAATGGACAGTAGCATCACAAAGGTTTTGAGAATGGAAGAAGTATTCTGTTTATATGATAACTTTGAATAAGCCATTTAGAATAGTTTTCTACTTTGCATGCTGAAATGAGGGGAAAAGTATTTTGTGGATTGTTACAATGTTGGGATAATGGTTGAGAAAATTTAATATATTTTATAAGGATAAGGAGTAAAACTTTAGAAAACAATACTACTGTATGATTTCCAGGAAAAAAAGAATTTTTTTCTTCCTAAGATAATTTAGGGCTTGTTTGCCCTCTGCTTTAGGTAAACCAAACAACTATTGCTTGCTGTGTTCGTTCTTTGTTTGGACGCTGGCACGCTGCTGGACCATACACAGCTGAATGCCAGAAGACAGGAACTATGGTGGGAGTGCACACTTTTTTTTGGACAACCTGGAAATCTGACATGGGTCTAACGTTGTAAGATCTGCTTTCTGCAGCTCGGAGGACAGAGGAGCTTCAGATCTGAGTTCAGGAAAAATACAGACTGAGATGCAATTCTATTTTGGAAAAAAAGTATATGAAAGAGCCAGCCAGAATTTGGCTCTGAAGAGATGAAGATTTAAACATTGCATGTATGTTCAGGTTTTATTAACAGGAAGGATATTAGAAATCAGCAATGCATGCATAATTAATGTGCTGTTTTTACAGGTTAGTTCTTGGGTACAAATTTAAATGCCAGTGTACTGCCCTGTAAACTGCATTGTCCTGCTGAAAAAAAAAAAATGTAGAAGTTGAAAAAGTGCTGTACAGGAGTGTGCAGATGCTGGAGGTGTGGTCTGTAGAGTAAACACTGAGTTTAACTTACAGTCATGCTTGGATATGTGACTTACAGGTGGAAGGAGTGGTGTTACCATTTTCTGGAGGGATATAAGGGCCAGATCCAGAGCCTGTTAGGACTCTACAGAAGACTTTGAATTGAATATCACGGTCTTTTGATGAGACGCTTCTCTGAAGGCATGCATGCACAAATCTTTCTCTCTCTCCATCATCTTCGAAGTAGGTTAAGTACTAAGAACAGGGCCAGTGTTCTGTTATATTTAGGCTTCACAGTAAATTACGGGGATGAAATCCATATAAATTCTAAACGTTTTTGCTCTCAGTGGGTCAAACTCAAAAATTTGTAAAAGGATGCTTACAAATGTGAGACTGGGGGAAAAGTGTGGTCTAGAATGGTACACTGTGATCTGATCTCATAAGGCTTTGAAATACATAATTTGCAACTCCAGCTGCGGTTAGGTTGGATCCTTTAATAGCCTCTGAAATGTCGGTGCTCTCTTCTATCATCCCTTGCCTTACCTAAGGGACCTTGGTGCTCCCTTGGCAGTAAATTTCAAGATTCTTTTACATTGCTACTTTACACTTCATTGTAAATGAAAACTTAGCCTAAATTATCCTTGTATAAATTGGAAGTAATCTGATCCTTCTGTAATGTTTACAAATTTCCATTGGAAAAGGCATTCTGATGCTGGTTGGTGACATACTCTATTTACATATATATTATTTATATTGTATGTGATATACTCCCATGTGATGACAGGGAAGATTCCTGACTTGTCCTGACAGCCAGGAATTAAGAGCACTCCTATTTACATAAGCATATATATTAGATAGACACAGATCTCCAAAATTTCTGTGTCTGGGTACGAGTGAGGTCAGGTTCTGCTTTAGACAGTCATGCAGACTTGGCCCTGTGCATTACCTTTGAATAACGCTGTAAGCAACAGCAACAATTTTTGCCTGCAATTAAAACTGTGACTTCCTTTGAAGACCATTTCTGTCTTAGCTTGTCTTTCATCTTTGTAGACAGGGGTCTTTAGTAGAAAGTTTTCTGCCCTGGACAGTAGGGGCGATCTGTGGTTTATTACCATAGTTTTCCTCAGTTTGTGTAATGCATATCTGGCTGATGATGAGAACTATGTGTTTTGACAGATTCTATAACTGAAAAACAATTTATTTTAAGCTTTTTATTTATTTGCACTGCTAATTTCAATAACAGATTTTTAACAAGTATTTTATGTTTTTGTTTTGTCTTATCTGTTTCTTCTGTTGTCTCATAAAATGTTACATCAACGAGTAACTGTTGTAGTACTGTATTAATTTTTTCATTAAAATTCTTTTTTGGTATTGCTGGTGCTGTTTTGCACTGGGAGTATCTGCAGTAAACTTCATTCTTTGAGTCTGTCTCTGTTTAAAGATTCATATAAGCTTATATGTACTTTTTTAGTGATTAAATTCCAGTCCTGTTACAGGTGCCAGCTGTTACTGTAATCCTGAGAGATGTGATTTAAAGGGCTTTACAGCATAAGGTGAGAAAGGACCAAAAAAATCCAGTCTCTTGGTAGGAGAGAAGTGGTAAATGTTTGAGCACATATATGTGTGGCTACGGTTAGATTAAATATAAACCAAACTACTAAAGACAGGTGTCCTAGTGTCCTTAATAGTAACTATATTATTTGTGCTTTTTGACACAGTAGTTTTCTCAGAGCCAGATAATCTTGTGAGACGTCCTAGCTGCAGGGAATAGAAAACCCTTTATTGACTTAAGCAGAACCAAGATTTTCCCCCCTTTTTTTTTTTTTAATATGTCAGAGCTTCAGCTTTAATTTAACTAACAAAACAAATTGTTCTATTAAATGAGGTCAATTGTCAGTCAAGCTAGTAGCCTGTCTCTTGCAGTGGATCATATCATGTGTTTCTGAGTGTGTGGCTGTAACTGAGTACTTCAAACCAGTGAAAGCTAGCACTGCTGTGGAAAGAACAGCCCTGCTGTCCTCCCAGCTTGCCTGCTTATTCCCATCTTACATTAACAGAATTGCATGGTGAATCTGATCAGAAAAATTACTGGCTGATGATTTTACTGGAGAACAGAAAAGATAATCATGCTCATTTCCCTAAACTGAGAATATTTTATCAAAACTGTTGTGTTCTTTGAGGAAAAATGCTTCCTCAAAAAAGTTTCTTTCTAATATCTTAGTTACAAATCACTTATAATTTCTTTGCCTTTGCTTGAATTAATGGGAAACTTATTTTATTCTCAGCTATAAGGGACTAAGCCTTAAAGTTATGATGAGATGATGCCAGGAACTGGCATGTGGATGAAGACAGGAGCCTGAAAGGACACATTCAGCTGAACAGAGACTCTGGAAATTTGAATGGACCAGGAAAAAGTGTCAGATATGTGGTCTTGCTCAACTGAAATCAGTGTTATAAACAAGGAAAACAGTGAGTAGAAGGGAGTGAACCCTCTCAGTAACTGACTGTAGCAGTGCATTTGCTACAGAATTCCCATTCTTCGTGAGGAAAAAAAAAAGATAGATATTAAGTGATATTAAGTGAGATTTCTTCCTGGCAGAATTCTTTTATTGTTTTGGGGAGGAAATAGTTTCAGAGGGCATCAGATGGATTCATTTGTGTGTATGATTTTAAGCTTTAGAAATAGGTACTGGGCTAGAAATTTAGAAATAGGTACTGGGCATCATACTTTATGATGAATAGACAGGAACCATGCTTTTATTGAGGAGACTTGATGCTGTTATGGGCTAACACTATGCAGGCATTACATAATCTGAAGATGATTAACAACTAAACAGAGAACTTGCAGTTCCCCTGTAGTGTTGACAATATTTTCATAAGACATTTGTGGTATTGAGTGAGGGGGGTGTTTAGGTGCAGACCAGGAGGTGTCCCTTTGAAGTTTCATAGTTTCATTCTGTTTTCAAGTAGGCTTTGATTGTTCCCTAAACAAGGATAACAAATAGTAGCAGAGAGGATGGTATGTCTCAATCTGGCAGTGTGTGCTTAGAACATCCTCAGCCAAATTCTCAATAAAAACCAAGCTCCAAAGATGATCAGTTAGCTGTTTAAGACTTTGGGTTATGGTTAGCGTTTTGAGGAGTACTGCCTAGTCTTTGCAAAACGAGTTTATATAAAGCTGTTTGTAGGTCAAGTGTAAATCTGCAAGTTGCTGGTTCTCAGTCAAGGAGAAAAAACCTGTCTCTTGCTGAAGCTAGTTTGTTCTGGTAGAAGTGATCTGTTTGGAGGGAATGTTAGTGGTGGTAAGGATGTAGAAGGGAGCATGCCATAAATGTAAGGGAGATGTTGGAGGGAAAGGTGGACAAATGCTTGAAGGCTGATGACACGGGCAAAGCAGACATGGGCTGTTGAAAAGCACACTTAAGTAGGTGTAAACCCTTGTCCAGGCTTCAGCTGTCCAAGGCTCAGTTATGAAGCATAGGTGCAAGTACTTTGCTTAGCTTTGCTAAAAAAGTTGTTGAGCTGAGAGTATGTGTTGTAAAGCCATGTAATAAAACAATTATAATTTTTTTTTTTGTTTTTTTTTAAGATAGTAATGGCAACTCATGATGAGAAAAGCTCAAACTGAGGCATGAGGGGAAAGATTTTTTTGGAGAGTTAGAAGATAGCAATTAAAAAATATTGAATATCAGTCTGTTCTAAGGAGTAATGGGAGGCAGCCTTGCTCCTTGTGTCTCATGATTGCCAAGCCAGCAGAGACATGTGATGTGCCTACGTTAAGGGGGTAAGTACATAAACTTGCAGCTTGGCAATGTGTTAGTCCTGTCTATATACCGATTACATGATTAGCTAATATTTAGTGGTCGTATATGCTGCTTGCAGACTCCTTGAGTATGGTAGAAGCTATTAAAACAAGTGATACAGTAGAGGAGAAGGGACACCTGAGAGATGAGAGAAATACGTAAAGAGCGTTGAAGACGAGAACTAGGTTATTATTGCCCAGAAAAGAAAAGAAGTAGATGAAGGGATTTAGTAGAGCTGGTGACTTAGAGAGATGGGATAGGAAGATAATCATGGCAAGCTATATTTTTGTGGGGATATATTTATATATTTTATAGGGATTTATTTATTATCATGTTTTTATTAGGGATGATCTGAGTGTTACAAAAGTTGGGAAAGTTTAGAAACTATTTAGAGAGCAGTTTTGGGAACGGGACAGCATCTAAATGCACAGGGCAAAAGGTTGGGAAGAGTGAAAGCTGCGCTTCTGGTGCTCCTCCAAGTGGAAGTGGTGGAATGGAGCAGGAGCTCCACCAGGGTGAGGAGACAGGGCATTGGGAGCATGGTCTAATTGCGTCAAACTTGCCTGGTGAGAACTGGAGGAGGTTTTCCTGAAACAGCAGAAAGAAGAGGATTAGAATAATTTA